GGACTGAATCTGAAAATGCCTTGCAGAAGACTTGATATGCCTAAGGCTTTGGTTCTGTTTGAACTGATTCCCTCTGATTCAGAATCTATGCCACTTGAGGACAAAAATGGTAAAGAGGAAAGTACTCTTCCTCCTGCTGATAGAGACCGCTTCATTATTGAGACTGTAGTGGAGCAAGCAGAAAGTGATGAAGATGTTGAAATGAATCTACCAGCTCCCTCATGAGTCATGGAAGAGACTTGAACTAATCTTCAAAAGTATGTCCTTGACTTTTTTAAACAGCACGGTCCAATGAAAGAAATTACTGGCATGGAAAATCCTTAACCCTCAAACACATTTCTCATAAATTTATTGTGACATTTATTGAGAAAATTGTTTTTCAAAATCTATATGCAATACAGAAATGAAAACATTTTTCTCCCCATAACTAAAAACAATACATGTCAAGAAAATCAATCAAATGAGGATACAAAATTTGGTTACATTGTGATGAGAGTGGTTATGCTTCACAATGTGAAATATAATTGTGAAAGAATGTAGCATAACTGAAAAAAGTATAAAAAATTACGTTTATGTGTCCAACTTGCAATGTTGGGCTATGCATGTGTCAAAAAGATACAATATGCTTTGAAAAATTCCATTCTAAGTAATTTTTAGTAATGAAATCCATCTTATCAGTCATCTTTATTAACTACTATTAATTATATATTCCTCATTTTCATTAGTATATACTCTTATAATCATGGTAATTTTGCTACGGATTATAAAACATATTATTTTATTACTAAATATCTAAAGGTATAATATGTCCAATTCTATAAAATATGTTAACATTATTTTTTATGGTTGTGAAATGCACAAACAGAGATATAACATTCATAAATAATATTTTTAAATACTTAATAATACTTTGTGAAGGGATATCTTTAATAGAGCTTTCGGCTGATCTTTAGAATATGGTAACTGGTAGTTTGGCGACATTTTGGAGACGATAAAGGTTACTACCTGGGACTTTGGTAATAATGTTTCTCAGTTCCGATTACGCATTATTTGTGTGAGGGAAAGGAGAGAGATCATGGGATATTATGTGATAGTAATGGACGAATTACGGTTCTTTAATCGGAAAAGGGGGGTGGAAATCGGGAAAAAATCTGGAAATTTTTGTATTTGGCTTTATTCTGTGTTGTGTGAAAACAGTGTTCGTTAATTTTTTGGATCTCATGGCCCTAACTAAAGTGAATTCGAAATGGGTATTTAGTGGGATTGAAGAGGTAGTAGTAATAAGTGTTTCTTTAAGGTTGGCGAGAGATAGAAGTAAAGATGTTTTATAAGTTATATTTTACCTGGTACCTTGCTGTGAACTATAAGTATGATTTTAAAGATCCTGAAACAGAAATAAGAAAAGTGTTATCGGACACGTAATCAAGATTCTGAAGAAGATTAGGTTAGTTAGTATTTTTAATTATTGAGGATATTATTTTTATGCATTGTTCTAAATGTAAGGTGGAAGTAAAGTAATTTGGTATGATGGGAAAATTGTTATTAGCAATGATTTAGTTTAAAGTAATTATTGTAAGCTAATTTTATTAATTTAATATATTGTGCTTATTTATATTTTAAGCAGTGTTTTTGAATTTAATTATATTTTAATTAAATGATAGTATTTTGTGAATTTTATGTTTGTAGGAATTTGGTATACGTTTAGTTGAAGTAAACGTGCATGGAAATAATTTAAATATTTGACACTAAGTTTGTATGTTACGTATGAATAGTTGGTGACGTTTATAATATAATAGATAATTTAGAGGTAAAAGTTTTTGGATATTTATTTATTTACACGTGGAAATGTTCATATTTGGAAAGGGTATATACTTTTCGTTATTAGGTAATTTCATATATGTTCTTTTTTAACGGGTTTTAAAGATTCAGAAATTGTCATGCATTTTCGTGAAATTTTTCTAATTTATGAGGAAAAAGAGTGTACATAGATATGGTGAAGTGTGCGCAATGCCATTTTGTGCAATCTGGATTTTTTTTTTAAGTAAAAATAAGTCAACGTGTGTACATGGTTTAGTGATATTTTTAATTAAATGATAGTTATTTTGTGAATTTTATGTTTGTATGAATTTGGTATACATTTTAATTGAAGTAAACGTGCATGGAAATAATTTAAATTTTGACACTAAGTATTTGTAATGCTTGCGGTATGAATTCGTTGGTGACATTATAATATAATAGATGATTTAGAGGTAAATAAAAGTTTTTGATATTTTATTATTTATATGTGGAAATGTTCATATTGGAAAGGGTATATACTTTTTCGCGATCAGGTAATTTCATATATGTTCTTTTTACCGGGTTAAAGATTCAGAAAAATTGTCATGTATTTTCCTGAAATTTTTCTAATTTATGAGAAAAAAGCAGTGTACATGGATATAGTGAAGAGTGTGCGCAATGCCATTTTGGGTAATTCTGGGATGTTTTTTTAAGTAAAAATAAGTCGACGTGTACATGGTTTATGTGTATGTGTTATTTTGAAAAACGCGTAAGGAGTATGGTATTGTGCACTTTTTCCCAATTTTGCAGTGAAGATTTGTCATGATTAAGCAGTTTTGTTAGATAAAATTTCTAGCATAGTGTAATTCGGGTAGGATTGTGGAAGAAGTGTCAGTAGATAAAAAGAAAAGAAACATGTCTTTACTTCGTGAAGACAAAATGGTGGCGGGAAAAAAAAAATAGAGGGTTGCTGTAGGAGAGTTGGTCGCCAAATTTTTGCCAAAAAATCGCCAAGTTACCATAATGTAAAGATCAACCGAGCTTTCTTTTTTTAAGATAAATATTGTATATAATTTGAAGTAATTTACGAAATGCATGCACAGTGATAGATAAGTTTTTTTCATTGCACTAACAATATTTCTAATGTCCTAGATACATGCCTTTCACACCATGAGAACAGCCATCTTCTGAAGAAAGGCAAGAATTTTTTTTTTTTTTTTTTCCCAATCAAATATTACTTGTCTATGAGGTCAAAACATTATTTAGCATTATTCTATATCAAAAATAAAAAATGTATTAAGCACTTCAAAGGTTAATGGTATGTTTTTGCCATAGTTTAAAATTTGAAATTTAATGTAAATAAAAAATTTCTTAAGAACATGTCATTGCATAATATATTAGTGAAAATATATTTGATATAAATTAACAAAAGGAACAACAAATCATTCAGAAATTAGATAATTAAGCAAAACTGCATTTTTAAGATTGTAAGATGGCAGCCAAGAACTGATATCTAGATATGATTACAAGACTATATTATAGCTGCATATCAATATTACAAGACAAATTTAAACTAGCTATACTTCTAGACTTAACCCCTTCGCGCCGACTGTCACGTATACGTGCCAGCAACGAACACACTTATCTACCGGCCGACACGCAGGCGTGCCAGAGCACTGTTGCATTCTCTACCGACTGTCACGTATTTGTGCCAGTACCTTGGAACGTTTTTCAAAGTATAATTTCTGCCACAAGATGGCACTGTATGTCCATATGGTTTCAGATACATGTGCATTAGACCTTCTACTTGAATGAGAGAAGCATGACTCACATACACGTGTTTTTGATTATATAAACAAACGGGGAACTAAATGTTCCGAATGGCGTGATTATGACGTCTCTTTAAATCGCACTTTATTCACACGTGGTAGTTGTTTATTGGTAAGTAGAAGTTTTATATGCGCTAAAGCGTTGAGTATTTCCGTTTACAGTTCAGTTTTTAGAAAATAATTAGATCTTGTTAGACGTGAATTCTTCTGTTTTACCGTTTCAATGGTCGAAGCGTCGAAAATGTTTAACAGAGCATGAAATAGCAGAAATGATGCAAAATATTTCAGATATGATTCTGAAATTCTGATATTCTGATATTGATTCTGAAAGATTAACTGAAGACATTTTCCAAAACTTTGTTCAGAAGAATGATAAGAAAATGAGACGACGATGCTTCGTTTGTTCACATTCCCGGAAAAAATCCTCCAAAAACGGCAAATGAGTTAGTTACGAGTTCAAGGAATGTAACGTAGGACTGTGTAGATCCCTGTTTTAAATTTTTCATACGAAAAGAGAATTTTAAGTAATATATTAGTTTCGATTATAATGTAAAGTCCTAAAATGGTAGTAATTAAAATAAAATGTGTAAAATATGCATTTAAACAAGAAATAAGGTAATTAAAGTATATATATATAAATATCTATAAAGCATAAGCCGTTTAAATACTCTATAGAGCATTATTAAACAATGCGTTGATACTTCGGAAATTTCATGGATTTAGGCTTAGTAGCAAAAAAGCCCTCGGCCCTGGAGAGACGCTCACAGAAGACACTGCCGGCCTCCGCGATAAGCGCGTGTTTTCGCTACCCGGCTCGAAGGGGTTAAGTTCATGCTTTAGAGTCACTATGAGACGTGTTATGTACCACAAAGATAAAGCTACTGTAATTTCATTACAGAGTCTTGTGATTCAAGCAGTGAATTCTAGTTGAATCTTAAAAAGGTTACAAGATACTGTAAGCAAACAACCATAAAAATGTTTCTTCCTTTCAACAACAGGTATAGTTCAACAGTAATAGAAAACAACAATCTTAAAATGTCTGGATATTTCCAAAATCTACAAAATTTTACAATCAGATCTAACAGAACAATGAATCTTGAACCAAATATTAACTAAACATAAATACAACTATTCATTATGTAATTATAATGGATTTTGACTACCTAATGAATTTAGTTAATATTAGCAAAAGATTACGACTTACAGAAAATCTAGAAAAATGAATTCATAGAACAATATTAATATATATCAGGAATCTCAGGAGGAAAAAAATTTAAAAATACATTTAAGTCAATTTTTAGTTGCATTTTTATAATATACTCTAATTATTTTCATTAAAAAAATATTATTCATCCCTAGCCTATACTACCTATGAAATATAAATTTTATAATTACATCTAGTTGCACTTTTGCTTCAGAAAATCGTTCTCTGTCACAAGCATCTACTAGAAAAACAATTGCATCCACAGCTGGAAAGTAATCCTTCCAAACTTTTCTAGCTAAAAAAATATATAACCAAAATTAAATGTAATACATAAAAATCATGAAAAATTCTTGAAAGATTTTAAATACATTTTTTAAGAAAACAAAACTACTAAAAATTACCTTGGTGATGACCACCTAAATCAAAGGTTGTGAACCTCATGTTCCCAATAGATAATTCTTCAGAGGCTGCAAAAAATAATACAAATGTTTATATGTACGTTATAACAAATAACAGTACTTCTGATTATCCTCATCCCCACCGGAAATTCAAAAAAACAGTATCCATGAGACAAAAAGTATGTAGCTAAAATACAGTTATGTGATATCCCACCATGTCACCAAAAAATATTTGCCATATTTGCCGGCGTATAAGACACACTCCCTCTTTTATACACATTTTTGAAGGATAAAACTTTATTACTGATCATTATCATGAATTTACAGCATTTTAAATATAAAGTAATACAAATACAAAGTAATATAAATACAAAGTAATACTTTCTGCAAATACCCAATCTATGAGTTGCTTTTTTAAGATCCTCTTCCTGATTCCAACAATTCATTATCATTTTCTCAGTTGGAGATGCCCAAAATGGCTCTTTGCAGCCCATTTCCATGTTCTTTAGCATACACAATCAGGGCCAGATTTTAGATTTGATGAGATGACATATGAGATGACATATTTGACATATGAGGCCCTATATGAGGGATGTAAGTCCATTTTTTTTATATGGGATATGGCACAATTTTGGGGGGTCGGGGCCCTAAGCTATAGTTTATGCAACTTATACTTAAATCCAGCACTGTGCACAATCACACGTAGCTTGTATGTTATGTGACAGCAATGCCGGTGTTGTTTTTGAGCCATAACTTGCCAACAAATTTAAGAAAACTGAACGGTACCATTTCACACACTTAAAAGTCATTCACAAAAATTTAAACGAACCCAGCTGTGATCGTCAATAATAGCATATGCGCATTCACTGAACTCAACGTAACTGTAATATTCCCACACTCTGTAAGGAAACAAGGAAAAAAAATCGCATAGCTCCGGATAGAGGAAATTTCCAGAAATGAATGTAATCAAAAACCAAGTATCGATGTATAAGATGCAGAATCAACGTATAAGACGTACCCATTTTTCAGACCTATTTTCAAAGGAAAAAGTGTGTCTTATATGTCGGCAAATACAGTATATGGGAATGCTACAATACACTTAGCACATGTTTGGTTTAGCCAATGCACAGTGACAAAGTTAAACAGATACCAAGGTTGTGCAGGTCTCCGATTTCTTTTTTAAGCAAAAACACATCACTCTGTACATAGAGATAACAATAATGCAAAAGAGGAGGATTTTTGAAAATAGGTTAGTTTTTTATTACCAATGCTTCTTGCTTTTTTAATTTGATTGATTAATTTATTTGATTGATTGATTGTTCTTAGTATGGAATTATTAGTGTGCCATCATTTTGGAAAGTGGCTGTTACTCAAGCATTAGCTTGATAAAAAATTAGTTGGCAACAAGTTTGCAACTTTTTTGGTTAAGGTACAAAATGATCAGAAAGTACAAACAAGTTATTACAAAAAATACCTAAATATTATGGTTGTAGTCAAAGACAATTTAAAGGTACAAGACAATACATTTTCTTTGGTAATAACTTAATGTAAATTTTTATAATAAAAAATAAAATGTACATAAATTTAAAATTAACATACTAGGATGAAGTGTGGGTACGTGCTGAGCCATACGATCATCTTTTAACATATGAAGAAGTGTTGTTTTCCCAGCATTATCTAAGCCCAAAAACAACAGTTTCCCACTTTTTTTCCACAGACCTAATAAGAAAAAAATAAGCTTAAAAAACAAAGTTTGTAATTTACAAAAGGCAGCATTTAACAATAAATCCTACCTTAAAAAAATAATACATTTCATTAAACAATGAAACTCTTTATGTTAGATAATTTTCTTGGTACACTAACTAAACTGAATCTACTGCACCAAGCACGGAGTTGGGTTCTTCTAAAACCAGAAATAAAACAATGGAAAGTTTCTTGGGGAGTAAGGACAAAACACATACAAAATCATGTACAGTGTACACCTTTACAAACGTAAACACTTGGGATAAAAAATGGATTATTTAAATTATGCTATCACAGTTAAAATACTAAATCTTGGTTAGAATTAAATAACAATAAAAATTTACAACACATTATACAGTACAAAGACTGAGATCCAGACTCGTCAAGACTTCGCCGATTCGGATTTGAGATTTTTCCAGATGATCATCAGTTTAAATCTAGTAAGATGGCAAGTTGAAATTATAAAATTAAAAATATGAAATCGTGATTTATGGAATAATGAAGCATTTATGATCTAAATGGTATCAAAATTTCCAAAAAAAAAAAAAAAAAGCTTAAAGGTGTTGACAGTGAAGGATAATTAGACAGTAATTTATTATAAATACAATTTGTAATAATTGTTTTACCAGAATATAAATGTGTGTTAATTACACTACAGTAAATTTTTAAACGTGTTTTTAAATCAAGTTTTTTGTTCCTTAAATCAGGTAATAAATCAAAATAATGCAAGAAATCAGATCCAATAATATTTGTTGACACTTTACACACATAAAAAGTAAAATTAAAATTACGACGAAGTCTAAGGTCAATACTTAATGCTTTTTGTCCACAAACTGAAATAGGGGTACCATTTGCTGCAGAAAACATCATAATAGGTGTTTGACGCACTTCCTGTCTGGTTGCTGAAAGAAGACTGACGTCTGAGCCATTGCCGCACAAAAATATTCTATTCGATTTCCTGTCTCTAATGAAAAGACGACGAGACTCAGAGAGTAAAGCGCATGTCACCACTACACTTCCCCTGGAATGTACATGGTGAAACACACTTTTTAGCTTTGTCGCTAAATTTATGATGATACCAACAATAGGAAAAGTTCGAAGCAGTTTTAGCTGAAGGGCTTCGCGGTTAATCTTTGGATTATGGTAACTTGGCGATTTTTTGGTGACCAACCCTGCTACAGCAACCTACTAGTTTTTGTTTGGATGCCATTTTGTTTTCACGATGTAAAGGCATTTTTTTTTTTTTTTTTTTTTTTTTTTTTTTACTCAACATTTTTTTTCCAACAATCTGCTAGCCGAATTACGCTTATACTAGAACTTTTATGGAACAAAAGTGCTTAATCATGACGAAGATTAGGTGCAAAATTGGGACAAAGTGCAGAATCGCCCACTGCTTGCCGCGTTTTTACGAATTGCACATGCACGGTATCATCCATGTACACGTCGACCTATTTTCACTTAAAAAAAATCTCAGAATTGCACAAAAATGGCATTGCGCACACTCTTGACTATATCCATGTACACTGCTAAAGTCCTAGCTAGTAACCTTTATCGCCTTATCAAGATATCGCCAAACTACCTGTTACCATATTCCAAAGATTAGCCGGCTTCGCTTCCTGTTATAGCGATTTTTGGAAACACTACGTGATTGCCGTAGAGACAAAACCTCGTTACGCAATTTGCACACTTCCTCCAGCAGGGAATCCAATTTAGAATTCTCAGAGACATTGAGAGATACACGAGCAGAAACTTCGCTTACCTGAGGTAGGGTGTAACTTCCAATATTCTATCCGCGATACTGGCAGCTTTCGAATGAATTGAGCGGCTCAACCGACGCTAAAATAGAATAGACTGGAACATTTGGCGGCATCTGGTGCATGAATAATTCCAGTAACAAAGAGTCAGGCACATTGTATTTTTCAGCCCACCTAGTCATTACACGAAGAAGTTCTGATGGCTTCCTATCTCCAAGTTGCTCGCTGGTGAGTAATTTCCGTATTTCACTCGTACTGCTTTCTCCACAGCGTTCCGTAATAGCAGCTTTGAGGTCTTCGTAAGACCCGGAAAATGATATCTCTAACTAACGCAGCAATTTCCAGCAGCAAATGAGCGACGTAGTAGTTGAATTTTGTCTTCGGATCCGTAATAGGCTTGGGTACGGCTAAAGCAAAAGTTGCTTCACACATAGCAAACCACAATGCCGGGTCAATCGGATTGTAAATTGGGATCTTGATGGCTGCTGTTTCCTCCATGTCAGTGGCTGAAGGGAAAAACACAAAAGTTCTGGAACTAAACTCTTAAATGAACAACCAGTATAAGCTTCATGCGAGTAGCCGGATCGCCATTTTATGGTTGTTGACGCCGGGTCACCATTTTATAGTGGCGTGGTGGTTATGGCTTGGTGTATATCCTTGAATTGATATGATTCCTTTTCCTTAAACACAACCTTTATTCACACACACCATAACTTTAAACACAACTGAAATAACAGAACGAAATAACAAAATCTACTAAACTAAAATTCAAACATCCTATGCTCCAGCTAAGGGCGAAGTGAGCTAGTTCACTGCCGCGCTAGCAGTTTTTACATAAACCACATGACGTGGATCGGCTGCGCACACAGTCAAACGTCAGATTGCCACAATATTTATTTGTTCACCTCACAAAACATTTCTTTCAATGTAAAGGGTTTAAGTTGCTTCGTTTTTTTTTTTTTTTTTTTTTTTTTTTTGTCCTAATACTTTCTCTTTAATTCTGTAGACAGACATAATATCTTGTTCAGTTACATTGCTGAAGTCCTGTTGCTGCTGTTTCGAGAATTCCAACTAATTTATCAATCAAAATTTTTTTCATTTTCAATAACCTTTCAGTCACTTTCTTCTAGCAGCGGTATTTTCTGAATCTAGAACCATACTACAGATTTTGCTGTCCATTAACTGACTGATGATTGGAGCATTGCCATCACAACAAAAAATTTTATTATATCATCTTTACTTATTACAGCTTCTCCCCATTTCTATACAAAATCCATTAATTGGAAAATTTCACCTGTGGTTTGCAAAATCCGAAAGCCTTCAAATTCGCAGCTATCATCTTCATCATCCTCACCATGAAATATAGTAGCTGGCCATAAATTATGCCAAGCATTTTTTGAAGTACCTGGAGGACATTCTCCCATGAACTTGTGATGCTCCACACAGCAGATTTATGTTAAAAAAATTTTAAAAATTCTATATTCTTGCCATTATTCAAGAAATTTAACATGGATTTTAAAAATGTGACTTTATATTTGCACTTCAGCACGTGCTATATTCCAATAGGCTGAATGATAGACATACAGTTTGGAGGAAAGAATAATACAGATACATTATCTTTCATTAAAGGCAAATGGTTATCTAGAGTCGGCAATTTTTGCATCATCAAGTAAACCAACAAATTCAAATTTGAACGATGTGCAATGAACTGGAAGAAGTTGATCTGTCAGCACTATCCTTATCTTCAGAGCAGATGCTTTTATTTTTATTCGGCTTATAACTCTTTACTAAATGTGGTACAGTCGAAAGTCTTTAATCCGGACTCGTCGGGACTTCGGCCATTCCGGATTATCGGTTTTTCCAGATTATAGATCAGTAGTTTAAATCTGGTAAGATGGCATGCAGAAATTATAAAAAAAATATAAAACCGTAATTTATGAAATAAAAGAGCAATTATGATCTAAAGGGTATCAAAATTTACAAAAAAAAAAAAAGCTTAAGATTTATTTGTTTACTTTATTAAACATTTGTTTAAACGCGCGCATGCGTAAAGCATACATTATGCATAGTCGAAATTACAAAATTGCAACCAGAAAACTATTTGATGTGTATTCGTGATATTTATAATGACGAGAAATTTAATTTAAATCATATCAAAGGTGGAGTACATCGAGATGAAATACTACATTTAGTAAGGAATTATAAGCCGAATAAATTAAAAACATCTGCCCTGAAGATAAGGATAGTGCTGACAGATCAACTTCTAGTTCATTGCGTGCCACAACGTCCGGATTTTAGATCATTTCGGATATTGAACATCCGGTTCTTGGACTTTGTACTGTAATTTACAATTAAATAATTGAAAGGCTAACGTATTTAAGATTTACTATATATCAGTTTGCTTAAATTTTCTCTAGAAAATACACATGTACACTCATTAAAATGCACATTTATCCTCTGGAAAATGCACATTTACATTATTCATCTTATTTTACCATCACAAATGGCTATTTAAAAAAGGCAGTAAAATTCAAGTTAATAAGAAATCTTATGTTAAATTTTAAAATATTCAAGAATAAATATGGTAATTATGGATTATCATATTTAAGTGCATATTTCCCTCCCACCCACCACCATTTTAGCATATGATTTTGAAATTTTTAAATTTACACATATGAGTCAATTGACAAGAAATACCAGACTCTTAAAATTTTTTGAATTGGTACTTTTTACATGTGCATTCCAAAAGCTGTATATTCTTCCTCAAAAACAAAAAACATTATCTTCCTCTCAAACAGACAGAAAAAAGGAAATAGAATTTAAGGGAGCAAGCATATTATGAACTGAATCTCTGGAAGAAAATTAGTCCTATTCTATCTCAATGCATTACATAGTAAAAATAGTAGTATAGCATACAAAAGCAAAGATGAAAAACAAACACGGATCATAAATTCTGGAGATTCAATTTTCAAAACATATTCATGTAGGTGGAAAATAAGATCTTTAGCATGATAGTTGACACATCTCCCTGTCTTAACAAGTACAAAGTAGTTAAAAAATCAAAGGTTAGAGTAGATTTAAGAGTGCCCTTTAGATTAATGGCAAGTTGCTGCTTCATTTATCGCCAAGTTTTTGCCGCTTCCTTTATGGTAACCTGAGTAGTTGAATGCTATGGAAACCCTATTATGACGTAGTTGGTTGTGTAATTGCAGTGAATTTGAATGATGGGAAAAGATTTGGAAAGGCTTGTTTGTGTGTTGATTTTGGATAAGAAATAAGCTGTTATTTTGTGGTTTACATGGTAAAATGGCTGAATGTGGTAAGATTAATTTGAAGTTTCTGTACGATTTGGAATGAAAGAGAAAAAACATTAATTGACTGGTGTGTAAATGAAGGTTTACTTAGTAGCCATTATAAGTGTTCTGTTTGTAGGAAGGAAATGCGTATGGTCGAGCGTCAGAGGATATTTATTAATCTTAGTTTTGTGAATTTATGTGGCGATGCCAGTATACAGATTCTAGTTCAGATAATTTTAGGAAGTTTTTGGGATGCTGTTAAGGAATTTTGTTTGACTGAAGAGACAGAAATTTGTAAACAAGTTGAGTGGATATTTCCTTTGTGTGGTGCCAAGAGGAATTTCCTTTTTTATGTTATTTCATTGTTTGATTTAAAATGCAATTTATGAATTATATATTTTTTTTTGGCTGCTCCTTTGACTTTTTAAGTGAATATACATTGATGTGTACATGTACAAAAAGAGTGGCACAGTGCCTAGTTTGTGTAATTCTCCAATGTATTTTTAAGTCAAAAATAGGTCGATGTGCACATGGATATCCAGTTTGTGCAATTCTTTGACTTGTTTTGGATTTATGTAGCAGTGATTTTTGCTTGGTGTCCATGTACCACCAAAAATCATAAATTATCATCAAGAGACACCCGTAAATATATTTTTACCAACTTTGTTATCCATCTCTAGTAATAATTTACAACAGAATGCTTTTAGCACTGTAGCACATTTTTATACTCATATCTGTATTCATGGTCAAGAATATTGCACAATTTTAAAACAAGATGTTTAAATTAGCATCATTTTATCAAAATGTTATTTTCACAGTAAAATATAGAATAATAATTAATAATATAAAAATAGCATTAATAATACTCATAGACTATTTCATATAATTTTTTAAATACAATTTCACAAGTCGTTCTTTTTCCTCCCTTAAAAAATTATATATAAGCACTGAATAAACTTTCCTCTTGATTTAGATAAAAGTAAATACGGTAAATTTTCTAAAAGCCAAAGATAGATACAGATACATAGTGAAAACTGGGGGGAAGAAGTCTTCTTCTGTCAGGAAAAACAAGCAACTTCTATAGATTTTAATGTATTCAATACATTGTCATTTATAAACTCTATGCAGTTACTATGTGTTATCATCCATTATTCATGACATCATTTTCCATCATCTCAGTTACCAAAAGTTTGTGCCAGGTAAATTCCATATTACGATTATCAACCCTTCCTCCCCCTCCTCTAAAAAAAATTGGAACTGCACTGGCATTCTAACTCAATATACAATGTGATGTGATGTCCAATATAAATGAATGTGATGTCCTTTTGTCTTGCATGACAACGGGGATAAAAGTTACCCAGACAGTACAGTGGTTAGGGGAGTTTACTACAGTACCAAAGGGCTCGGGTTCGAATCCCGGAGAAGACATGGATGTTTGTAAATGTATAGTGTCGGTGGGGCATGTTGACACTAAATACGTGGCGAGCTGAAAGTCCTCTCAAGTGAATTTGTTGAAGGGGAGAGGGTAGGGAGATCCCCAGATCCTTCCCTCGGGGTGCTCTCCCTCAAAATTGGAGGTAGAATACAGAAGACCAACCTCTCTTTGGAGTAGGCTCTGGCAACCACTGTTCCATGTTATATGGACAAAACAATAACATCGGGAATAGAAATGTAATCATCTATTCTATACCCACATGCAAATGAGAACCTTTGGCATAGTATTCTCGGCTCTCTCATCAAACAAACGGAAAAAAAAAAAAAAACAGCAAGGTAGATCTTCCATCCTGAAAGTAATAACAAATGAATTCAAGGACAAATATGATCCACTTCTTATTCAGTTTAAGACAACTGATTAAATCATCTATGAAATATTAGACAGACCAAAAAAATCATTCACAGTCACTGGAGAGGCCTTTTATCTAACAATGTAGTCATCCTCACGACTGATTGCACATTGCCACATCTACAAAACAACGTTCAGTGGTAGATTTGGGGGCATCTTCCTTACAGCCCCACTCTTACCATTTATCATCTTTTTACAAAATTAAATACACTTTTTTAATGAAAAGCATTTTGTTTACTTTAAGAGAAATCTATACAAATAACTTTGTAATTTAAAGATCACAGTTGCTACAATTTATACAAAATAGGTTTTAAAAAGTAAATAAAAGTAAATTATAATTATTAAAATTATAATACTAATACAGTCAAATTAGCAAATTATAAGGTTGACCTTTAGATTATGGTAACTTGGCGATTTTTTGGCGAAAATTTGGCGACCAACTCTGCTACAGCACATTTATTAATGTCAAATGACATATCTCCGCCTCCAAAATGTCGCCAAACTACCTGTTACCATATTCCAAAGATCAGCCAATTATGGTTATTAAAATTATAATACCAGTTCAAATACAGTTAAATTAGCAAATTATAATACCAATACAGTTAAATTAGGATAAAGACATACAGGTTTACCAACTTTTTTTATTATAAACTATTTTTTCACTGAATGATTTAATTCAGATAAAGGCAGAAAAACTTTTTGATAGAGATTTTAAAATTTCTGCATTTCACAGATATAATCTCAAGCCATCTAATTCAAACTCCTGACTAACAGCATAAGTAAATAACGGCTAATCTTTGGAATATGGTAACAGGTAGTTTGGCAACATTTTGGTAAGGCGATAAAGGTTACTAGCTAGGACTTTAGCAGTGTACATGGATAAAGTCAAGAGTGTACACAATGCTATTTTTGTGAAATTCTGGGATTTTTTTTTTTTATGTGAAAATAGGTCGATGTGTACATGGATACCATGTATGTTCAATTCTTAAAAACGCCGCATGCAGTTTGCAGTTCTGCACTTTCTCCTAATTTCGCACCTAATCTTCATTTTGATTAAGCACTTTTGTTCCATAAAAGTTCTAGCATAAGCAAAATTCGGCTAGCACACGCAGATTTGGTGCGAAATTGGGAGAACGTGCAGAATCACCCACTGCTTGCCGCATTTTTAAGAATTGCACATATACGGTATCCATGTGCACGTCGACCTATTTTCACTTAAAAAACATCCCAGAATTGCACAAAAATGACATTGTGCACACTCTTGACTTTATCCATGTACACTGCTAAAGTCCTAGCTAGTAACCTTTAGTGCTTTACCAAAATGTCGCCAAACTACCTGTTACCATATTCCAAAGATTAGCCAAGAAAACAATATTTTATACATATAACAAAACTCAGAAAGTTAAAAGTTTAAAAACTGAAAGCACTTCACAAATCTATAAAATAATCAAGTTTCACAAAATTTTGTTACTTACCTAGGTAATTTAAGACACCAGTCATCCAATTAACAAGAAACATTTTGATCAATGCTGAAAATTAAGAACCAAATTCAACTATGCGATTTGGAAACATAATAAATATTTCTATATTTCCATATTAACCAGAGCTGGTAATTTTAAAATATAAATGTTAATGAATGTTAGAACACCATTAAATTAAGAGGTGCATTTTACATGCAATCAAGCATAAGTGTTTTTACACAAATTTTTATGTCTAGTGAATAAGTATAAAAGCAACACTTGAATTTATTATATAAACTGTGAAGTCCAAACTTGATTACCTGGTTTATAAAGCTTATGAAAATATAACACTGTTAAACTTTATATCTGTTTAAAAACTGTGATTAAATGATAAATTAAAATATTATAAAACAGTATACAAGAAATATGTTTTACTGAGAAGAAATAAAGTTGCCCATATAATAAATATGCGCAAAATGCTGTACGAATAAACATGTAGGAAATTTTTATGACATCACATGCATTCATATGTGCAGTTTCAATAGTAAACATTGAAGTTTAACCTGTGTATAAACAGAGCAGGATTTAGACTTGATGAGGCCCAAAGCTATTTGAAATATGGGGCCTTTTATAAGTCTGTTATACTATATTTGAATATCATATTTATACTATATTTTAAATTTTTTGCTTTCCCCCCCAAGAAAGTGGAGGCCCCGAGTTATAGCTTGTGTAGCTTATAAGTAAATCCTGCACTGTGTATAAATCATCAAGAAAATATGAAAAATTACACAATTCACCATTATAACGTTTAAAAACATTCAGTTACAAAAATCAAAAAGAACTTTACTTTTTATTGCTACGGTAGCAATGTATACTGGTGTTAAATAGCTTGTTACACACTCAAAAATAAAACCACAGTGTAGCTTAATACTCTTGCTACGTCCAATTTCCATACATACATAAGGAAGCTTGCAAAAAAAATGAAAAGTAAGAATTCTAAATATGTATTGAAAAATTTTTATTACTTACATTCATTTACGTCTCACCACATAAAAAAAAAAAAAACAAAACAAAAAATTATACATATAATATGCAATTTATACGTGCTTGTTCCTCATTCAAAGAAAATTACATTAAAAGAAGTGACGTTTTCACTTCCCCCAAGCGCTACAAAACAAGACACGCTATTGGCTAAAATAAGTGTCTTCTTCACATAAATAAATAAACGCTAAAAATAAAGGGAAAAGTGTGTTCGTTATTTTATCAAGTTCTAATATTTAAAAAAATAATCGAGCAAAGATTACTTAAATGGCAAAGAAAAAGTAATTTATGATCTTGTTTAATCTAATGTAAAATATGTCCGACATTTGTAGTATTTAGTAATTTTTAAATACCAACATTTCACATTTAGCATTTAGTAAACTGTAAATGGCATTTCTCTGGTCTTCAATGGGAAATTCAGTTTTGCTTTCGCCATACCCTTTGGGGACTCTCTAAGGAACTAGAAAAAGCTATTTTATAATAGCTGCATAACACCTATTTCCAAGTTCTAAGAACTTTTAGATGCATGTGCATATAGAACCATGGACGTTAGAATAACTCCATATTTACATGTATAGGTCGCACCTCTTCTTGTGGAACGGTGTTTGATACACCTTAGGTCTCAGGAAACATTGGTGGTTTATCAAAAATTTTGGCTCCTTTAAAAAACAGGGGTGGTAGTAATAAGGAAGTAACAATATTACTTGCTTATTAAAGCTCAGTTTCCCTTATTTGATCATAACACGTGTTAGCTATCTCTCTGTTAGTCTTTGTTGAGGACTTTCTAAGGAACACTGGCTCGTATGCACATTAGAAAAGTCTGGTATCCATTTTTGAAGTCATTTTTAAGCCTAAAATTGATATTAGCTTTATATGAAATGCCTTGGTAATTTAACAAAGGCTAATTCTTATCAAAGTGCGACAGTATTACTCAACATAAAAATTTGTTATGAAAATTTTAATTTAGTGTGGCGGAATTCTTATTTCTAAAATTTCTCTCCAGAACAAATTTATATATACATAAAAAATTATGAACATATAAAACTAAAATAAAAGTTCTTGCATTCAAACAGGGTCAACGGAAGACATTTTGCCGACCGCTGCAGTCCGTAACTTCTAAATTATATCGCCCAATGCCTGCCTAAATTATAAAAGTTTTGCCGCCGGTAAATACTGCTATCCTGTGCAAGTGCACACGTTACCCGGCTCTAGAGATTGCCTTGCATCAAAGACTGTGTAAATAATTTATATTTAAATCCGATTTCTTCCAAAAAAATAATAATAAAGAATCTCACATTTATTCTCAAAAAGGTGTACTAGATTTTAAATTCGTTCATTCTTCACTTAAATAATACACAGAGAATAATTTTTTCTCTAATGTACTATGCAGAAATGAAAGCCTAAAATGTTAATTTAGCACAGTTATGTTAAGACTGAAATCCAATGTAATTCTCAGTGATTTAAAAAGATATACGGAAGGTGGAATGGAAAGTATAATATATATAAATAGGAAAGATATACATGCTAAAATATTTAATATTTAAAAACTGTTATATATCCACGAGGAATTTCTCGAATAAAGAAACTCAGTGTCGCGCAACGATGTTTCTGTCATTGCGCAGAATTCACTGCGCGTGTGCGCAGAATTTGTCTGTTACTGCGCGTTTGATGATTTAGCGCTGACCTATCTAAATGTTTACATATGGAAAGACATCTGTCTACTTTGTCTGTCTGTCAGGAACTGTAGCCATGTAGCGTTCTTTATTGATAGTTACATTTTTGCCTCTTTATATTTACTATGTAATTGCCTGTTGTTGCTTGGATATATGATTTTTATTTAAATTAGAAATACCATTTACAGTAAATATGGATGTATTTCACAGTTTTAAACCGTGAGTTCTTTGTTTTAAATTAATATGGTGCCTCATATTTGCTTCTATCTGTGCTTAGGATTTTCGTATCAAAATTTTAAGAAGCTAAGCATCTATTTAATGTAATAAATACTTGTATTAAATTTCATTAGTGGTTATATAGGAGGATATTATGGCTCAGTTTGGAAATAAATCTGGTAGGAATATAACTGATTTAATATTTCAACGCGAGCATGGAACTGAAAGTCTTCCATTAAAATATGAAATCGCTAAACTGAAAACGGAACAATTGACATACAGTTCATACGTCCGTTCTCAGGATGTGGTTGGAAAGGAATGCGGGTTTCTTGAAGTTTCTAATACTGGTTATCCAATTGGAGTGTTTTATGAAGATGTAGCATTTCGATACAGCGTTAGACGATACAGTGCAATACATCAGTTCATTATTCAGTACAATTCGCCATGTGGAGGTGTCCGAAATAAACCATATCCTTTAGTCAAAAAAGTAAGATGGAGAGAATCTCCATTAGAACACATGGAAGTAACTGATGTAAAGGTGGTAGACTTAAAAAATCAGACCATTTGCCTCTTTTGTGGTAATTCTGTTAAGTATAGTGGTATAGTCGCCACAGTTATATTAGATAAATCCACAGATAAAGAAAGCAGTTATGAATGGCGATGTAAGAAAAATGTTTGGTGTTGTTGTTATAATAGTTTTCTGAATCGCTTTGCAGTTGGTTGTGACGGAGGTTATCATTGCTTTGGCATATCTCATTTCGGTAATTTAAGAAAGATGACATGTAATGTTACAGCCATGGGATTTAATAACGAAGGAAATGTTTTATACTGTGGTACTGATAAATGTGGTGTGGCAGCTCATGACTTGCGTGAAAATTTGCATCAGAATTCTACAGCAGTGTCAACAGAAAATGTGAAAGAAATGCAACTGCTATCTGATGATGTGTCACTTGTTGTAAGTGGTACTAATGGTAAACTCTTAAAGGTAAGTATTTTTTAAGATTATATAGGCGATATACGTTAATTTACATATCTGTGCAAACAAGAGTTGATGGATCAATTTAACATTTTGTCAATGGATTAGATTAACTAATCAAGCATGGAAAGTTTCAATTGTTTCTCAAGGAATTACAAACATTGGATAGTCCAACTTATTTTTGAAACTTTGGTTAATTTTTATTGGGTTAATAATGCAGAGCAAATGAATTTTCGAGAAAGTGCAGAATCACCCACTGCTTGGCGCATTTTTAAGAATTGCACATACTCGGTATCCATGTACACGTCAACCTATTTTCGGTTAAAAAAAATATCCCAGAATTGCACAAAAATGTCATTCCACACTCCCTTGACTTTATCCATGCACACATCGACCTATTTTCACTAAAAGTCTAAGAAAATTGACAAAAATCCAATTATTCTTACTCTTGTAAAAAGCGCCAATTCTGCACTTTACCCGAATTTTCTTTAAAGTATGCATTTATGGTTAATCTTTGGATTATACTCGAATTTTCTTTAAAGTATGCATTTATGGTTAATCTTTGGATTATGGTAACTTGGTGACTTTTTTGGCAAAAATTTGGCAACCAACCCTGCTACGGCAACCTGCTAGTTTTTGTTTGGACGACATTTTGTTTTCACGAAGAAAGGCATTTTTTTTTAACTCAACATTTTTTCCAACAATCTGCTAGCCGAATTACGCTTATGCTAGAACTCTTATGGAACAAAAGTGCTTAATTATGACAAAGATTAGGTGCGAAATTGGGAGAAAGTGCAGAATCGCAAACTGCTTGCCGCGTTTTTAAGAATTGCACATACACGTTATCCATGTACACGTCGACCTATTTTCACTTAAAAAACATCCCAGAATTGCACAAAAATGGCATTGCGCACAATCTTGACTTTATCCACGTACACTGCTAAAGTCCTAGCTAGTAACCTTTATCGCCTTACCCAAAATGTCGCCAAACTACCTGTTACCATATTCCAAAGATTAGCCCAGAAATCTTTGGACTCTATTGAAATTACTGTCAAAATCATTGGTAATAACCAAAATGTGCAAGTTTATGGCATTATTTTGCATTGAAATAATAGATCACATCGTAAAAAATAATTGTACTTGCGTATTATCAAAACCATCTTAAAAAGTAGAAAGTGCCAAGTATTTAGAATATGCCAAACTTTAGCAACCATGCTCATAATTATCTTTTGAAGCAATTTTATGTTGCCATTTTTATACGTGTTCTTTTGATTGTATTCCAAGTTGCAGTGATTTTTACAGACACATTGCGATATTTTTTCCCTTTAAATTTTAAATATGTGTTTGCAGAATTTGCTGGGATTGAAAGAAATTGCAGAAAAATTTATACTGAAATTGTAGTGGTATATGGGAATGGATTTAATTAAAAATAAAGCTGAGTGTTCTGTGTGCGATGAGGTACATTTGCTAGATAGCTGGTGCACCATACTCAGTTAGTGCAATTCTCCGGGTATTTTTTTTTTTTTTTTTTAAAGTAAAAACAGACACTGTATTCATAGGGAGAAGAGCAACTCAAAAGAAGTGGAACAGAAGTGCTTAATCATGACGAAGATTAGGTGCGAAATTGGGACAAAGGGCAGAATCGCCCACTGCTTGCCGCGTTTTTACGAATTGCACATACACGGTATAATCCATGTACATGTCGATCTATTTTCACTTAAAAAAAATCCCAGAATTTCACAAAAATGGCATTGCACACACTCTTGACTATATTCATGTACACTGCTAAGTCCTAGCTAGTAACCTTTATCGCCTTACCAAAATGTCGCCAAACTACCTGTTACCATATTCCAAAGATCATCCAAATATTTAATAATTCATGATACAGTACAAAGTCTTTAATTCGGACCCCCATAATCCGACGTATGCTCATAATACCTTTATGCATGCGCATATGCATTTACGCTTGCACATAATACGTTTATGCATGCGCATTTAATGTATAACGGACGGTATAAGCTAGGCTAAAATTATCTATTTCAGTTAATGTTGCAGATTGCATTGTTCCTTAATCTTCTAATTGGATCCGGCTTATTATTTTTTGCAGACTGTTAGAGTAATTTTATAAAAAGCAACCTCGAACTTTCGATTATGTCAAAAAGAGTTTCCGATTCTGGAGCTGCCAAAGGATCTACAAAGCGAAAGCATGTTTCAATGTCCATCAAACAAAAAGTGGAATTGCTGCAAAAAATGAAGAAAGTGACAGAGAGGTTAGTGAAAACGAAAAGATTTCGATTGACAAGTTAGTCGGTATTCTCGGCACAGCAATTACAGGACTTGAACAGCGGAACTTTGTAACTGAACAAGAAATTATGTCTGTTTATGGAATTAAAGAGAAAGTATTAGCACATAAAACGAAGCAACTTAAACAACTTACATTGAAAGAAATGTTTAATAAAGTAAACAAATAAATATTAAGCTTTTTTTTTTTTTTTTTTTTTTTTTTGTAAATTTTGATACCCTTTAGATCAGAATTGCTCTTTATTTCATAAATTACAGTTTTATATTTTTAATTTTATAATTTCTGCATGCCATCTTACCAGATTTAAGTTGATGATCCTAATCCGGAATCACCGAAGTCCCGACGAGTCCGAAATAAAGACTTTGTACTGTATAATAAAATGCCTCGCACAACTGAATATGAAAAGGCATCAAATTTGCTGTGGGGTTTTCATCCGCAGAGAACCCGTTGGCGCTTCGCGAAAGAACCCGTTGGTGCCGTTGCATTTTTACTCGCCAAGCTCCGATGAGCCGAGCCGTTAACGTGGTTTTTAGTGTATGTAAGTTCAAGTTAGCAGACAATGGTAGTAAAAATTCACAGATAATAAGTGTGTAGATGTAAAACTAACAGGTTAAACGTGATATACGAAAATAAATTTGTATTAATTTGTAATTCAAGTTAGCACAGAAAACAGTGTATTAAGCATAACGGAAATAGAAATTCATTTAAAAAATAAAAATTAGTATTCTTTACTACGTTTACATTATATGTATTTTCTCTAATTCATATACCTAGAATACCAATATTTCTCTTACAAGTGTCATTTTTTCATTATTAAGTACTTTGCCTGTTGATTGATATATTTCGGTAAGAGCCATGCCCATGTAATAAATTAATGAATGCATGATCCTTTAATACATCCATTTTACATAGTTTTCAGTTTTTTTTTTTTTTTTTTTTTTTTTAAGTTACTTGCATATAGCTTAAAGCCATTTTACTTTGTAAACAAATATCTATCCTTTTTCATAATATATTTCACTATTGTGACAATATATTATGAAATGATGATATATATATTATGAATCAAATTTTCTTCAGTAGCATTGTTAAGTTAATAAAACTAGAAATTTATACATTTTAAAATTATTTTAGGATTTGGAAACCTCATGGTTCTGCGTGCTTACAGCTGTTAATAATTAAGAACATAACGTGAACAGCATGTTACAAATTAGCATTCACTTCTCCCGCCATATTTTCTTCCTTTGATCCCGAACTGACGAGCCGAGAACCGGCATCTTTCGACGAAAACTTCTTTAATTATGCAAAAATATTTCTATCTATTCGTTGTTAAAAAATTCAGAAAAAATAACAATAAATAAGAGAAGAATAATATAAATCTCCAAATGCGAACAACGACAACCTTCGCACAAGCGAATAGGATGAATTAGCTAGGTTACCAGGTTTGAACTATTATCGCCAAAGTTGGCGACGTTTACATTTACCGGGTTCTCTGCGGAAGTGCTTCCTTTGCTCTGTATAATACAGTATAATATTATTATAAATATCAAAATAATCAAATGCTTGAAAATTTGAAGTAGAATATTTATCATACGGAATATCTGTTAATTAATTCTACATTTGCTAAAACGGTAATCTGATCTTTAAAGTGCCTCTGAAAAAAGTTCTATGCTTGTGATGTGTGGGAAAACTTCGGTATTGCTTCTAAAACATTTGCGAAAAACATTAATTCAGAGTACTCGAATATAATAATGCTTACTGATAGAAGCTAATAAATATGTAGAAAATCCAGAAAAGAATTTGAGAAACAGTTTGTTTTGGTATTTTCTGATTTTCCACATCCACCTGAAAAGTTACCTGCTGTTCGGCAACTTTGCAAATTGGCAAGAAATGTTTATTGGCTATCTTATTCACTTATAGGTACTGTTCTATTCATAAATAATAATAAAAAGAAGCATTTTATAAAAAACAAATTTTTTGAAAAATTTAGGGTTAGTGTTCCCTATATTTTGTTGATTCTTATCGGTTATAAGGACCATGAAGACAAATGCAGCAACACATAAACACCATACTAAATTCTGGCTTATATTGATTGCTGATATTATAAATAGGTGGCTTGGTTTAATCCTAGTATCTGGTACACGCAGAATTTAGCGACATTATGATGAGCAGTAAATGCAACATTTTATAATGAGCAATAAGTGGGTCATTTTGGTGTTGGCGACAACTTTCAAAATCGTGCCAAGGCCATATTGTATACTAACTAGGATTTTACCAGTGGTTTTGCTTTCAGATCTTATATCTACTGCTGATATTATGAATAGGCGGTACTATTTTTCAATATTCGTAACATATTAATAGCAGTTTTTTTGTATCAATTTTTATATGTGTTATTCTGTTAGATTTTTTCTATCATTCTGCTGCAGTGATGAAAATCTGGAATTTGCTATTAAACTGAGAAGATGCTACAAGTTTCTTTTGCAGAGGGAAATTTTACTGCAACATTATTTTTGTCCAAATGCTCATGTCATGTGGCTGCATATAGGTGAGAAGTTCCTCTGAGGTATAATGTCATTGGTTGTCAGCGTGCTATTGGCCTCTGTGAAATTTTACTGCATTTTTGTGAAATTTTACTGCATGCTATGTGATTGCAAATAGGTAAGAGACTGCTGGAGCTATAACATTGTTAATTGTTGGCATACTATTAATC